GTAATTATGCTTTGGGATTTTGTCACTTCAAACCTTTCAGACCCCATTTGTTCATTTTGTCGGGTTTTGTAGCTTCACATTTAAAGCCAAATTTCCAGTTTATTGCCAACATGTCATTAAAGTGTTCCTTTGAGTCATCTCAAAATAGGTTTTCTGGACATTAAACAGGCTACAAAGGCTTAAAATGTTAAGTTTGAGCATTTGTGCAACCATTGAGCACCTTAAACTTATCTACGTCTGTTTTAAGTCCACTTTTTTGACATGAACTTTAAACATTCAGCACATATCTGGACCATTTACAATTTTAACTTCAACAGAACAAGCTACTAATGTGGTGCCCTTACCAGCAAGCACAAACTTATGAGATGTACACTAGTCTCTGTAGAGACATGAACTCTGACCATATTTATGAGTGTTTTTGACTAAGTCAAAGATTTGGTCCCTCAGAATTGGGCAACCCTGGCAATTTCGAGACCTTAAAATGTAAAACATTGATATCTGGTGTAGGCGTGCCATCAGTCAATGCAGGTTAAAGATCGAGAACTCCCAGACTTATTGTAACAAAACCTTTATCATCCTTTAGATTCAGATGTCCGTGGCTCTGCTCAGCCTTTGCGTGATCCACCTGGAAGACAAAAGCATGTTTGAGTGACTTGAGTCTACACTTTTGAACAGGATTGTGGTAAATTCAAAGTATTACCACAGTTGTAGAGGATGTTCAGCTTCTGGATGTCCAGCTGGCTCAGAGCTCTTCTCTGACCGATCTGCACGCCGCTCTGTTTGGGCTCCAGAGTTTGGCCTCCGTCCACGCTGAAATAAGCCCTGCAAACAACTCCAGTTGAGAAAAATCACAAAGAACGGGCGAGTGGAGCTCAAATTAATCCAGAAGAAGTCGAACAGCTTACGGCCCGTAGTGCAAGATGGAGCCAAAGTCGTAGGGCGAGTTGAGGGTGTTTCCGTTCTTCACTTTGAAGTTGTCTTTTTTGCCTAAAAGAGAAAAGAAAGCAAAGTTGAAGATACAGGAAACTTAAACCTGTAATGCCAAATGTATCATATTTGATTCATACGGTTTCTGAAATTTTTTGCGTCTGACACCTTTTGCATAATTTAATGGTAAAAACTTTGCTCAAAATCCTATTTTACACAATCAGATACACCTGATAACAGGGGGCAAAAGACTACACAAAAAATAATCTTGGCTTATCGCATAGTAATGAATTAATATAAAAAATGTACTTATTTTGTTAAAAGGCCAAATAAGGAATTCAAACCAAAAAAAGTCATTTTCTGTTTTGTTTTATTCTTGGATCAGGCTTTAAAGGGTTAAAGTCAGTTCATCGGGTTGAAACATGCAGATTTAGTGGAGATGAGACCACAATTTTATGTTTAAAACACTAATTCGGACCCGTGGGAAGCAGTGAAAAATATATTTTGGTGTAGTCTTCTACTGGCTGTTATCAGGTATATCTGAATGTGTACAACAGGGGTTTGAGCAAAGCTTTTACCACTGAATGATGCAAAAAGTCTCAGATCCAAAAGACTTCAGAAACCGTCTGAATCAAATATGACACATTTGGCAAATGTATCATATTTGATTCATACGGTTTCTGAAATGTTTTGCGTCTGACACCTTTTGCATAATTTAATGGTAAAATCTTTGCTCAAAATCCTATTGTACACAGTCAGATACAGCTGATAACAGGGGGCAGAAGACTACACAAAAAATAATCCTGACTTATTGCATAGTAATAAATTAATATCAAAAAAGTATTTCTGTTTTGTCTTTTTACATAATTTGTCAAAAGGCCAAATAAAGACTTCAAACCCAAAAAAGTAATCGTTTTGTTTTATCCTTGGATCAGGCATTATAGGGTTAAAGTCAGTTTCATCGGGTTGAAACATGCAGATTTAAGTGGATGTGAGACCAGTGGGGATTTTTGGTTTAAAACACAAATAGACCCATTGGAAGCAGCATTTACTTGGGCTGATGTGGGGCCAGTTGACGGTGACGTAGTCGTCGCGGTCCTTCCGGGTGTGTTCGTGGTACAAACCCAAGGCGTGCAGCAGCTCGTGGGCCAGGTTTCCCGATGAGCAGGACTCAGAAAAATACACCGGCTGGGACCCTCCACGGCAACCAATAAAGGAGGCACAGCTGGAGACATTTCAAAGAGTCAAGAGGGGTGGAAATGTTCCACGTTATTACGCTTTGAGCAGATTAATCCAAGCATGCAACTACAGCGCATTTATTCCCTCAATTCAAGATTTTAAATGACAATTTCTCTCAGAATTTCTCACTTTAAGTCATAAAAGGGCTTCTATCCAGAGTTTAAGAGGTGGAAATAAGTCATTATCAACTTTACACCATCTCCATTTTCAAGATTAATGCATTTTGTTTAGAGAGTTTGAGTCAAATTTCTGCAACGAGTTCGCTCAAAATCCTGAATCTTAAATAAGGAATCCAACCCGTTGCCATCTTTGATTTCCAGGTAGTTGAACTCAGCGGCGTGCGGCTGAAAGCGAATGCACGTCGACCCCGAGATCATCCTGAAGGCCGCCTGGATCTCAGACCCTCGGTGAGCTGCTCAGGGCAAAAAGTAGACGACTAGTACGGATGTTTAAAAAGCAGTAAGATGAATGGAAGATGCAAAAACCTACCGAGTTCTGGGCTGATTACGTAAGGGATTACGCCACCTGACCACACCGAGTCCACAGCGTTTCTGTCCTGCTGTTGAGTTTCATTTAAACAGAGAGTCAGATAATCCAGACGGCCAACTGAGAAATGAGGTGAGCTCATTTAGAAAGTCTCAGTTAAAAAGGACATGTCAGAGACATGCCATGAAAATTCACTTTCCAGTCATTGAAAAAAATAAATAAGAAAAGACCCATTTAACTTACTGCCAACAAAATATCTCCTTCATCTAGCCCCAGATAGCCATGCAAGTCTATGACAGGAGAGCAGATTTAACCAATTATTCATTTAATTATTGTTTTTAAAGTTAGCCACGTCAAGCCACAGGATTTATGGAATAAATTTAAAGAAAAATAAATATACCTGCTAAGGTTTCTGCACTTTCATTTAAGACGGGATGCTTGGATGCTGCACCAAGAAAACAAAATAAAAATGATATCTAGAATTAAGCCTCCATAAAGAGCTACTCAAGAGCAATTAGAACCAACCTGGGGAAGTGGTAGTTTCATTCTGGGTGGTGTTTGAAGAGCTGCCACCAACTTAAAAAAAAAATATATATATATATACATACATATATTCCACTTTTACTTCATTATTACCAGAAGTTATTCAACATAAAACTTCTGAAACCTACCTTTGGTCCCAGTTGCATTCAGCTGGAGAACAGCATCAACTGTGGTAGCGTTACCTATAGGCCAAATAAAGAGGTATCATCATGGTGGTTTACTGTAAAAAGTAGAGTTAAAGGTTACCACACCAACCTGAGGCAGAGGAAGCCGCTCCATTCTTTATCTCAACAGGAACACCTGCAACTACACAGAGATTTTTAGCAACACAACATCAGAGGAAAACAGAAACACAAATGAGCAAATCTGTACCTGCTGACACGCAACAGAAAACCAGAAACCACATCATAAAACTCAGCACCATTATGCTCGCTACAACTAAAAACCAAAAAGGACACTCAGATGTCTTTGACTTAAAAATAGGAACTCTGCTGGGAGGCAGCAGGTGAGAGCGGTTTCTCTAATTGAGGCCCTCTGATTTAAACCTGGGGCTGATGGGACATTTCCTGTGCTGAGGAAACTGAGGGTTTGTGCAGATTTCAGTGCAAAGGCATGTTGGGAAATAATTGATTCTGGGTTTTAAGCTAAACAGACATAAACTGATATGATATAAGGGGAAAATATGAAAAAATCTGTCACTTTTTAGGCTCATAAATGTGAACTAATAAGCACAGGCTTCTTCTGCCTCAAGGGCTTTTGCAGTGAGTCAGGATGACCACTGGATGGAGCTAAAGAGCAAATAATAAAAGGAAATACCCATTGATCTGCATGGAAACTAATAAACATAATCTGTTACATAATCTGTTCAGATATATAGTTTTGGTTTTGAGTGACTGGTTTTGAGTCGCAATTATATGAAAAAAATCCAGGGATATTGTTTTCATTTTTTCTGATAGCAAGCCCAGTAAATAAAAATACTACAACAGTATGAAGTCTTAGTTAAAAAAATAAAAATAAAATACTAATCCAGCAAAGGAAGGCGGAGAATATATGAGTAAATAAAGAGGAAAACCTGAGCCTGACCACAGAGTACACACACGCTCACTTCCTTCTCGCACAACACAAATAACAGATATACTGTACTGTACTTAAAGTCCCTATGAAACACAGAAATAGTTCTCCAGACCTACTGAAGAACACCACAAAGCTCTTGTTTGTATATTGGCAGCCTTTTGTTCTGTCCTCTGAATGTTACACATTTTAATGATTGAAATTAGTCACTTATTCCAATCATTTGAAATTAGTCACATACAGAACTGGGGTAAAAAATGAACGAATATCCAAAAAATGTTTAGACAAAAAGAAATTGAGGAGAGGGTTTAGACATTTTAACATTAATTTCTTTCTTTACTCTGACTAGTTTGTTATTGAAGTAGGCCTGTACAACAGTATGTACATTAAATTAAAGCAAACCTGTGTTTTATCAAAGATTTAAGACAGTTTGCATTTGGGTAGATTTTATTCATGGCTGAAACAAGTTGGGAAAACAAATAATTTTATCAAAAATTACGCGTTCAAATAATACAACGAAAACATTATACCTGGTGACGATTGCAGTTGTTTATGGAATCAGAGTTTCCGACGGACTTTGAACGCCTCACCCCCCAAGCATCGTGAGAATCATGTGACGTCCTGTCATGTGATGCATTCACTTCCTACCGATCCGGGTCAGAGCTGGTGCACTCTGCTGTATCATGTCGTCTTAGTCGGGCTTAGTCCACAGACCGGATCCAACTCAAACAAAAATGCCATTTTTTAAGGATAAACCCACCGGGATAAACCGCCTGGAGCTGTTTCTGGGGCTCGTGGCGTGTTTGGGATGCCTGTCGGTCCGATGCTCGGTGGCGGAGGGGGACGCCGGTCCGTGGTACCAGGACCTCTGCAGGTAACCAACACACCTCCTGGGCAGAAACCCCGCAGTTAAGAGCAAATGGAGAGGGGAGAAAAGCGGAAAAAACATCAAAGAATTGAACCGCTCGTGCTAACTGGCGCGAGCCCACGCAGCTGTTGGTCAGCTGGGGCCAAATTGCTCGTTTTCCAGACACGCTCGTGTGCTATCACGCGACCTTTGGCATTTCCCTCCAGCTGAAATCAGCCAGAAAACACTTACGGCTCTTTGTTTCATTCACACCGTCACCTTTCAGCCCCGAGCTCCGGTCCAACGGAACCGCTCCCACCGGTGCTAGCTAGCTAAATAGCTAGCTAACTTACATAGCTATAACGGCCATGAAAGTAGTTTTGGGTCTAAAAAGCGAGCTTCCTGGTAGCTTTCAATGCCCAAACCTAAATATGAGGCAATTAGCTATGACTCAGAGCCACATTGTGTCGGTAAAGTTTTTTATTGAACGAATTGTTTTCATCATGCTAAGAGTAAACAAAGCTAAATGCTAACGTTACACAAAACTGTCATGTGTCGTTGTCGGTATGTTGTTGACAGCCTACTTCAATTCGTCACACAAGACTCAATATGAGTCTAAATAACAGCTGGATATCTGTCTGAAATAGTTACATGTGCTGTTTAAACTCCTCCACTGTTCAAATATTGACTCAGCACCAACCCAGAAACGCCTCCAGTTTAATACTTTTTTATTTCCCTGCCATTACATTTGGACTAAGAGCAGATCTAACAGAACTGTGTCGATGCTTAAGCAGCTTGTTGTTCAGTGGAGATGATTTGGTATTCAAATGATCTACTTAAAAAAGAGCTGCTTCCCCATGCTGGGAAATTGAAAGTACAATTGAAGTAATTTAATGGAAATGGAGTCTCAGATCAAAGGTAAACTAAAGAGGGAAGTGGAGCACGTGACCTGCTCTGAGCTCATTTGTAAACATGATCAGGTAGACTCTCCTTATTGTTTTTATAATGTAAAGCAGGAAAAACTGTTACTTCAGATGAAACCTGTAAATAAGTCAAAGCAGCATTTGTAAATTGCTTATTCTGAGTTGTAGAAACCATGAAAATCTCAGGATTTTCTGGGTGAAATTGATATGATTGCCTTCTTTTCTAGCTTTCCTTTGATGTTTATTAATCTGAAATACTTCATATATTCTGTTTCAGTTATGGGAATGAACAAAAAATTGCCATTAAAACAAGACGTGTGTGTGCTTCCACTGTAATATTTCAGCTCAGACATATATATTAATGTGAGACATCATCATGGCTGTAAAATGATAAGTCGTTTAATCAAATAACCAACTTGTCTGACAGCACTTGTTGCTGTTTGGAGACTCTCAGGTTTCAGTATTTGATCCTTTTTTACTTTTGCTCAACCCAAACCGGGAGATTCTGATGCCCGCTTTCTGTTTGACTGCTGTGAAATTAAAAAAAATGACTGTCTGCTCTGAGTTTGATCTAAAACCGCTGCTTTTTCTTTTTGTCTTGCAGTTATAAATGGGAGGCCATAGACCAAGATAACAAAGTGAAATACACCCTGAAGCTGTGCGAGTCCTCGCCGTCCACCAGCTGTGGGCCCGCCACCGCCGTGTGTGCTCTGGACCTGCTCAGCAAGGTGGAGCAGCCAGTCGGTGAGCCCTACGCCTTTTAATAATAATAATAATATTAATAATAATAATAATAATAATAAATCTAATTTAAAAAGCGCCTTTCATGCCACTCAAGGACACTTTAAAAAGGCTACCATCATTAGAACAACATTGAAACATAAGCAAACATACAAAGTAGACTTAGACTTAGACTTAGACTTCCTTTATTGTCGTTGTACAAAAAACACAAGGTGGATCTTGACAACAAAATGTCGATTACTTGGCTACCGGTGTAACAGAGCTAAGACCTTATTCCTACACAATAAATATGTTTTCTGTAACTGAGAGCTAGATATATACAGGGTATATATAATTCTTAAATACATCATAAATAAATACATCATAAATTAATTAAATCAAAATGGATTGACTCAAACTGGGCAGAATGAGGGGAATGTCAGAGTTACGGGCGGTGAGGTGGGTCAGATATTTTAAACAGGTGGGTTTTGAGTTTTGTTTTGAAAAGAGGGAGAGAGTCGGTGTTTAGGATGTCAGATGGGAAAGATACCGGCCGGCCTCCTTCTGACGCGGTCAGATATGTCCGAACATGGAGGACCAGAACGGGAAAACTGAGCAGCTCGTTTCAGGAGGTGGTTTTTAGATGTGGGACCCAGTTCAGATGACATTTTGGACCTTTCGAACTAGGGATGTCCCGGTCCAGCTTTTTAACTTCCGATCCGATCCCGGCCTATCGGAGCATGTACTAAAGTTTAGAGTTATTTATCTAATTAATAGTTGTCAGACGCACTTTAAACAGGGATTTGCTCTGATAACAACTAGCCATCTGAATTAGGGGACTTTGAATAACACACAGTGGTTGGTAAAGAGAAACTGACCTGTTTGTTCAGGGATGAACACAAAACAGACAAAATTATAAATAACAAACGGAAATGGCATCAGTGAACAGAAAAAAGTGCAAATGATAACGAAACTGTATTAAAAAAGAAAAACACATAAACAACCTGAATAGAGAATAGTCTATTAACTCAGCATCAGTAATGGATTATTTTAGTCTGGAAAACACGGAATAAAATAGATCTGGAAGTCTGGATCAGCATTTTCTCCTGTCGGCCAATACGCATTTTTTCCCAACTTTTACTCTCTGTCTGGATTAAATGAGGCCTGTTTGAATTTGAAATGTCCAGGTCACAATCAGCCGATAGAAACAAAGTAAATTCCCTCTTTCTTTCCCGGTGTGAGTTCCTGAAGCCAGTGGTCAGAGCAGGAAGCATCTCCAGGCAGGAACAATGAGACATTGTTGAGGGTTTCTGCGTTCGCACGGCGTGTAAACAGTGGCTGCTTCATGCTTATTTCTGCTCTCCTCTTCTGGGTTAACATCTCAGGCCGTCACAGACACAAACAAACCTCTTTAGGGACGAATTACCTGCCTCATTCTGCAGTTTTTGGCGCTTTAATAAGATTTCTTCCTGTCTGGCTTCTGTTCAGGAAAGTCACACTGTAGTAATAACTCAGTAATGATGCCTCTATATCAGCCTTGGGTTGTTTTTTATTTTATTTTGTCCTCAGTGTTCTTTTCTAATGTAAATTATTTTGTCTGGAAATATGCAGGAAAACAAAAACAAAGGCATGGAAATTCTCTAAAACTCAAGGAAAAGTATTCAGATTCCATGATTTATTTCAGCCAAGGACTGAAACAGTGAGGATAAGACGGTGGGATCGTGGATCTTGGGTGTGCTTTTTTTTAGGGTTTTTCTTTTTGGCCGTGGATGTTGAACCGCCTGGGGCTTTTCGGAGAGTTAGCCACGCAGTTAATCCGCCCTTTTACCTGGGAATAAACGGCCCTCTCAGAGGCTGAGGAGGAAAATGCTGCAGCTGTGCTGACAGCAGGAGGTTTGGATGCTAATCGAACTGACGTTGTGCTTCATCAGAGCTCTGATCTCTGTGCTGATCAGGCTGAATCTCCCGCTGTGTGTGTGTGTGTGTTAGCGTGTGTGTGTGTGTGTGTGTGTGAGTTAGTGTGTGTGTGTGTGTGTGTGTGTTAGCGTGTCAGCAGGATCTTCATCTCAGTACTCAAAGGCCTCTTAAATCCAAGCTCTATTCTGTTCTATAAAACATTAAACACCGCTGACAACATTTCTCATTAAATTGAAACATTAAAAACAGGGGCAAATTAATATCAACTCTCTTAAAAGGCTTTTAGCTCCAAATGGGAGCTTGTGTATTCCGGGTTTGAATGACAAACGTTAAAATCCGTCTGCCTGCCGGGTCAATATAAGAAGATTTGTCAGCCAAATTAAGAGTCTGTGTATGTATGGACTTCTTGATACTAGAATAGAATAGATTCTTTAACACTTTTTGCCACTTTATCAACATTTCTAATGAGCTTTTGGCCTGTCAAATCCTCAGTTTATAAAAAAAAAAGGCCAAACACTGACCTAAATTGTAAAGGCCGGTTACAGGTGGGATTGAACCTTTCCTAATTATTCAGCCCTCACCTTATTACACTGAATAGTCTCTTTTTGTTTATCATTTCCACATAAAAACATTCTCAGCTGCATGTTTATTTCCCCCAGAGGCTGAAATCCTTTGACCTTTAACCCCTCAGTAAAGATTTGTTTAACCTGGGGCTCAAAAGACACATTCATGTTCAGATTTCTGAGTTAAAAGACTGGTTAAATAATGGATTTATGGATGGAGGTGAAGCGTCTTGCTGCTTTGTTGAACAGCTTTTGTTGTTCAAATGTATCCTGATGTTTTTCACTTCTCATCACAGAAATGGGATCATATGGGGAACGTCACGGGTCTCTTCTGTCTCTGAACTTCCTCAGTTTACTGTAATTTATTTTTAGCGATTTCTCAACTTCAGCCTGGTTTAAGCGGCCGAGTGTCTTCACCGCTCTGTAAAACTCAAAAAGTTGAACAGGAGCTGCTGAGTCGGCGCTTAGTCACGCCGGCTGATTTCTCACATGACCCATGAACGCACCACCAGTGTCACGTCTGGTGTCTCGTCATGTCTTGATTACCTGTTGTGTACACCTGGGGTTCCCCTCCCTCATGTGTTTAAATAGTCCTCGTTTCCCATGTCCTGGGCCAGTGCGTTTTCGTCCTTTTTGGTCTTTCGTCTTTCTGTTTTCGTCACCCCATGTTCAGGTTTGATTTTGTCACAGCCTTGTTCACTTTACTGCCATACTCTTGTTTTGAACCATAGCCACAGTTTTCGTCATAGCCATGTTTTGTCAGAGTTTTGTCAGTCCAGGTTTGATTTTTGCCACGGTCTTATTTACTTTGTTCCATAGCCATGTTTTGCCACAGTTTTGTTAACTTTATTGCTTTGGTACTTTGTTCATAGTTTTGTCTTCCTTGCTTTGTTACTTTGCTCTTAGTTTTGCCACAGCCTTGCTTTGAACCCATGTCTGCCATCCACTCCTTGTGAGTGCATTTTTGTTTCAATAAACCTTTTTCACATATCTCCATGCCTGAGTCCTCCACCAAGACCCACCTTCCTGACAACCACCCCCCCCCAGAGCACAGGCACCAAACTCAGGCTCTTCTGGGGGTTTTTGTGAGCTAACAGCTGGAGGCTTTCCTCAGGTCGCCTCTTCAGCTCTGCTCTCTGGTGTGAGACATCATTTTTCTGTGGTTATTGTCACGGTAACAGCCCCTGTGGGTTATTTTTAGACGTTTGCTAAATAAGCCTGATCTTGGCCCTTGATGCTCACCGTTTCTCTAGGGTGGTTGTGAATAAGGGGAAGCTGGAGGATGATGGCCGCCTGGTTAATTCCTGATAACTTTTTGCACCCGCTAACTTTTTTGCACCTTTTACTCTCCAGGTGTGCTTATGTGAGCCTGCTAGCTCCACAGAGTCCATCCTGAGTAGTTTGGCCATCTCAAACGTGTCTTTTCTGTCTCTAGAAAATGTTAATTTTTTTTTTTAGGTCTGATAAATATGCAGCTTTTCCTTTTAAACGTGAGTAAATGAAGCTGGTATTAACCAAACCACACAAAAATGCTTCAATTTACAGCCATAAGTCTCCACATTTAGATTTGAAGTCAGAATACTCAGTTGGCTGATGATTTTCACACCGGTAACGAGTCTAAAGAGGCGCTTTGAAATACAGAGAGATGAATAACAAGCAGTAAAGGAGTGTGAGAACAGTAACGTGTAAATTGGTGCTGAATTTATTCTCGAGACGGTTGGAAGGAGCTGAATGTCTTTTTCACAGTTCACAGCATTTCTGGGTCAAACAAACTTTTAAATCTGGTTTCCACTTTAGTGCCAAACACCAGGGAAAGGATTGAGGAGAGCAAACTTTTTTATGGTTGTTTTTGGAGCTAATATTTCATAGTTTCGAAACGTAGGACCAGATTATGTGTTTCTCTTTTGGCAAATAGCGAATGAGGGTTGTAGTTTCCACATGCCACTCTAATTTTTTGGCGTTGCTTGTGTGTGTGTGTGTGTGTGTGTGTGTGTGTGTGTGTGTGTGTGTGTGTGTATCTGAGGGTTTGAACATGGGTCCGAGCACACAGAGAGCTCTGTCCGCTGCAGATTTCAGTGTTTGTGGGTCACGCAAACCGGTGAGTTACCGGACAACATCCTTTATTGTCCTCCTGTGATAGCAGCCTGTCCAATCACAGGATCACAGGGTTCAAAAAGCACACACACACACACACACACACACACACACACACACGCTCATTCAATAACCCCTCCAATCCAGAAAGATTAAAACACTGGTTTGCTGAGTCTGTTTTCAACACAAAAAGATTCATAAGTCTAAAAAACCTGCGATTGAGGTTATTTTGACATGTAAATCCGAAGGTAATTTGGATTCTTCACTAGGGACCAATTGGTTCATTTCACCGGCTGAGTCCCGAATCCGTGCAGAGCCTTCACATGCACAAGTTGTTTTCCTTTTCTGGGAGTAACAGGACGATTAATGTGGAGTCTGAGGTTAAAATAGTCTGACCTGAGGGGTCACTGGAAGTCAAGATGTGACTCCATCATACTCAGGATGACAAACCTGGGAATATAAGTTTGTGTTTTTCCATATAGTTTGTCAGCTCAGACACGAATAACCACTTCTTCATTCACTTATCCAATAAAAAACGGATAAACAAAGGTTTCAAATGGGGAAGTTTAGTCCAGTTTATTACCATTATTCAGCTTTTTCTTTTCAGCATTTGGTTTTTTGTGTCGTAACATGCTGAAAAAGCCTGACGTATTTATCATGACTGTGTGTTTTACTCTCTTAAATGTGCAGGTGACCTGTCCCTGCAGAGGCTCTCGGGCTCCGTGCTCGACTTCAACAACACAAAGAAATGTCCCGGGGGGGAAAACAACATCCAGACCAGCATCAGCTTCCAGTGCGGGAAAACCATGGTGAGGCTCACAGGCAGCATGTTCTGGGAAGTAGGGTTGTCAAAAGTATCGATACTCGAAAAAGTATCGATACTAAAACGTTGTATCCGGATACGATACTCATTTTCAAAAGTATCGATACCACCCCCCCTTCTGTCTGATTTGTTTATGTATTTATTTACGTTGTTTATGATCATTAACAAGACGTTAGCCTTGCTAGCTGCGGCTAATGGCTAATAGTAACATGCTACCATTAATCAAGTACATATCCAACTCCGCCCACATCCAAGTCGGCCATTTGATTAGGTCACCAATAGGGAGATCCCAGGAAAGAAAATCCTAATTGCTTCATGACAATATAGACATTTATTTAAAAATAGTTAAATTAATCTTTCAAACACTTAATTAAACTCTATACATATTATGTTAAAATAGTGTAGGCTATATCAAATAGGTTTGTACAATAAGTCCAAACAAGTTTAACCAAAAAATATTTATTTCTCACAATTATGAAGGGTGCAGGGTTAGGGTTAGGATTAGGGTTAGGGTCATTAATGTGGGCCACCAGTCACGATAACATCAGGAACAGGTCAGTTTGAAATGAAAGACACAATTCAGTTAAATTTTGGGGTGTTTGTTTTTATTCTTGTGGTATCGAAAATGGTATCGAGTATCGAGTATTTTCCTGAGTATCGGTATCGAGTTGAAAATTTTAGTATCGTGACAACCCTACTGGGAAGATGCTTTTCTGAATGCGGCAGCCACAGGAATGAATGGAAAACAGTCGGATAATTCACCTGTGTGTGAGCGGACACCTGAAATATTCATCCTCCTCCTCATCGCCTCTACTATCCTAATAGATACAATAGATTTATGGGGAGAAACCAGAAGTTTAAACCCCTGATTTTGACCCACAGGTTCTGATCTGAAAGAGGAAGCTCAGTGTGACTCAACAGGTGTTACGTTTAGTCAGTTTTAACCAACAAAAATGTAGAAATTGACATGTTTAAATTAAGATTGAGTTTGTGACAGGACACGAAAAGAACGATTCAGCTTTACGACTGTTAACAAATATGAAAAAAATGAGAGGATCCTCAGCAAAACGAGAACCCGTCCTGATAGTTTTCAGAAAGAGTGATTCACTGAACTGAAAATAAAGCAACAGCACCATTTCTGCCTGTGGTCTCCTCCTCAGTGTTTCTGTGAGTGGAAATTAGCCGGCGAGAACTCACACTTCTGCTCGCTCATCTGTGGGAGACTTTGTGGTTTCAGGCCAAGCCTGACATTGACATTAAAACATCACTTCCTGTCAATTTACAAAGAACTTTTAGGTTTCAGAAGGCAAGAATGTCGTCTGTGATCTGTAGTTGAGAAGAAAAAGTGGCTTTGTACGAGCCCACAATAGAAGAAAATGTACATTCTTAATGGAAAATAAGCTGAACAGTCCAAAATGTTTATGTAAAAGTTCACTGCTTTCCTGTTACATGTGAAGGATACACTTTTTAAAATGTTTTAGAGCTAAAAAAGTCAATTTGAATTATACATTTTTTGGAAAAACATGCAGAATATTAATAACATGTAGTCAATTTCTCAGTTACACTGTTTCTACCAGACATTTGAACTCAATTCTAACTGTAAGATGCTTTTGTACATTTAATTTTTCTTTATTTGATTTTATTTCTACATTGAGATTTCTCTGCTTAAAGTGGAAGTGTTGGTTATTAATTTGAAAACGAAGGTGAAACTGCAACACTTCTTAGTTCAGAGAAACAAACCTGAAATAGGTGATTAAAGTGTGTTGGTTACATGTTTCCCGTGTTTTTTCAGAAGCAGCTTCACTTAGACAATCACCACGGAAAATATCACACCGTTTGAAAATAAATAATCAGGGGGAAGGTTTCGGTGGGGGGCTTAGACCTGGCTGTGCGTTCGTGTTTTAACACCTTTATTACTCACACTTGTGTGTTCCCACCACAGGGCACGCCGGAGTTCGTGGCCGTGTCTCAGTGCGTGCACTACTTCGAGTGGAAGACGTACGCCGCCTGCAAAAAGGACAAATTCAAGCCGCATAAAGAGGTATGTGGTGGAAACTGTCTCCACATCTGTGATCGGAAACAACGACACAGACCAGAAACGCGGTTTAATTTGGCGTTTACGGGTCGGCCTCCAGAGTTACTCGATTAACTCTATTACCCGGTTAATGTGAAGTAACTCAAGGAATGTTTAACCAGTATTTAACCCTTTAAAGCCCGATCCAAGAATAAAACTAAACAGAAAATTATTTTTTTTGTGTTTGAATTCCTTTTTTGGCCTTTTAATAAAATATGTAAAAAGACAAAACAGAAATACATTTTTGATATTAATAATTTATTACTATGCGATAAGTCAAGATTATTTTTTGTGTAGTCTTCTGCCCCCTGTTATCAGGTGTATCTGATTGTGTACAATAGGATTTTGAGCAAAGTTTTTACCATTAAATTATGCAAAAGCTGTCAGACGCAAAACATTTCAGAAACCGTACATATCAAATATGACACATTTGCCATTACAGGGTTAAGGCTCCTTCAGAAACAAATGAACCGATACACTGAAAAACTTTGTACTCATTTTTTTGCCGCCTTAAGAAATGTTGCGCTGCATATTTCTAGTTCAGCTACACTGTTTGAAATCTTTCTTTTCACGGTGTTGATGAGCTTCCTAAAGAATGTCCGTGTGTTGTTTTCCACCCTCCGCTGTGTCCAGGTGCCTTGCTACGTGTTTGATTCAGACGGTAAGAAGCACGACCTGAACCCCCTGATCAAAGTGAGCGACGGCTATTTGGTGGACGACGGCGACGACAACATCGACTTCTACATCAACATCTGCCGAAGTCTCAGTGAGTCCAGTGAGCGGGATCAGAATCAGAAATACTTTGATAGTCCCAGAGGGAAATTGGACGTGGATTTAGTAACTCTGGGATAGACGAGGGGAATCTGACTGACAAAAAACAAACAGAAAATTAGCCAGAATGCTTCTTATTCTCTGCTGTAATTGATACTATGTCTTATTTGCTCTTAAGGTTAAATAAAGTAAAAATGTTCAAAAAAATAATCAAATTGATATAATTTGGATATGAGGAAGTAGAGCCAAACCTGCCATAACTTTAAGACCATGGAGGGGAATTATTGCAGAATTATCACCATGAAGGAGCTCAGGTCAACTTATGCAAAAATTACTTTTCTAATGTCTTTAACTGAGTGTTGGCACAAGATTCTGTGGTCTCAAAGGCATAAATAAAATAGGAACATTTAATTGTTTTTGTGCCCAGATGAAGAAACCAAATAAGTCTATTGTATTATTTGGTCATTCTCAACCCTGAGGGCAGTATCCTCACATTATGGAGCTCAGGAATCCATTTTAACTCTTTAAATCATCAAGAGAAAAGGAGGAAATCTTCATGCATTTTCTGTCTGATGCTACACTCAATAATCTGATGGCGCTCTCAAACCTCAAATAGAGCTCCATATTGTTTGACAGTTCTACTCCTGCCTTTATCTAACGCCCCTTTTCCTGTCTTGCAGACAGTCCAGACCGGTCCTGTCCAGAGGACTCTGCAGCCTGCCTGGTCACCGGTCAGGGTTCCTTCAGCATGGGGTCTCCCACCGAGGGGCTGGAGCTGGTGTCCAGTGACAGGTACCCTCACCTGTTCAAAGCCCCTATCCTACTCTGTCTTGAGTAGGGATGGGGATCGAAACCCGGTTCTATCAAGGACCCGGTTCCACTTTTTTCAAAACCCGAAAATCAATACCGTTTGGGCTCATCGATACCACTATAGAGTCTGGTCGTTTTTTTTTTATTATTACAATAGTAATTGTGAAATCCGTGTTGTAATCGGCAGCATACAAGCTAGTTAGCTTGAAAAGTAAATAAAAGTTTCAGACGTGCTGCGTGATGATGTGTTCAGATTGGCTCAGTAAAACGACAATTAGGTTATCGTGATGCGTTCAAGTGTAACGTAAAGAAAAGGGAAATTGAGTGTTTGGCGAGAAACATGAGTAATACAGTAGTATATTGCTCTAATTATTTTAGAATATATAATTAAACTATTGATGCCAACATTTATTAAAAATTACATTTAATTTAAAATACAATTATTTATTTGCTAAATATTGTCGCATCGTCTTTCCACCAAATAACAGAAAAGTTTCGATAGTGGTATCGATAAAGACTTGGATCGATAAGGAGTATCGCTAAAAGTATCGATATCAATAAATATTAACGATCCCCATCCCTAGTCTTGAGGAGTCTAATATCACGTTAAACGAACCGTCACTGGACCCATTTGAATAGTTCAATGATAGTTTTGCGTTTCAGAATCATCAGAATCAGAAATTCTTTAACTCATTGACTGCCAGAGTTTTTGGAGCATTTTGACTGATTTTTCAAGAGCCACAGAATAGTTTGTGCTATGACTTTGTAAACACCGAACACACCAAAAGAAAGAGTAGACTCTTCTTTCATCAGGAAAAAATATTTGTTTCTACCTTATTCCGTTCTTCCTCGACATGCGTCTCACCGGCGACATGTTCTCTCGTAGCGAACCGTTACCTTTTTCTTATTTGCCTACAGTCTATGCTCATCTCCAATCAACGTGACACTGCACCCTAGAGGGTCAATTTGTTACTACATACTCTGTCTAGAAGCCTGATATTTACGGACAAGCTTTAGCAGATCGTCCCCCAGCCACTCTCGTTGAAAACCACAAAAGACGTCTATAGACATCTTTGCCAGCCAATGAGTTAATAATCCCAGAGGGAAATTCTCCTGTCTCGTCCTCTCCAGCTTGAGGCTGCAGTACAGACTGAGTCCCGGCTCGTCTCGTCCAGATCTCTGTAAAGAGCACGAGCCCGCCGTCACCATCACCTTCATCTGCCCGTCCAACAGACACTCGGTAGGTTACACACAAGGAATTTCTTACCACTCCTTAATTTGCTTTACAGTGAACCCTCGCTATAACGCGGTTCACTTTTCACGGTCTCGCGGCTTCACGGATTTGCATCATGCATTGTGTTCTGCTTTCTGATTGGCTAAACAGTCTCTCTGTGTCTTCTCTACCTGTGTGTCAATAACGTTATGGTTTAATATGTACACGTACGTAAAACCGCTTGCCAAATTGAAGTTTGCTAATTCTCTTGCAATTTCAAGTTTCTCTAAAACCCATAATGTCGACAAAACGTTCTGCACCGACAAAGGCACTTGCGGTCGGGCCCAAAAGGCAGATGAAGAAGCTAACTATCGCTAACTATCAAACCTCTGGACATGCTAAAGGAAGGTAGAAGCAATGCGGCTTTAGGTCGCCATTACGGAATTAATGAATCTTCCGTTCGGTCCATAAAGAAGGAGGAAAATGACAGCAGCAATTAGTTTTAATAAGGATGCAAAAAGGGTGCAACTGTCCGCAACAAGACCGTGGTAAGGGATGGAGTCTGCATTAGCTTTGTGAAAGGGAAGAGGAGGAGGATGCAGATACCGGGCCATCAGGAATATTTCATTGTATAATAACTGTAAAAAATTAAAGGTTTCTACTTCACGGATTTCGCCTATCGCGGGTTCTTTTTGGAACGTAACCCCCGCGATAAACGAGGGTTCACTGTAATCCTTTTTATTTTATTTTTTTTGCCTTTTCGTGCTGTTAATTGTCCCTATTGCTGGTGTTCCTGTCCCAGGGCAGCGCCCCGAAGATGACAGCCGGCTCCAACTGTCGCTACGAGGTGGAGTGGGTGACGGAGTACGCCTGCCACCGGGACTATCTGGAGAGCCACAGCTGCAAACTGACCAGCGAGCAGCACGACATCTCCGTGGACCTGACGCCGCTCACGCTGGCCAGTGAGTGGAATCAAGCCTCTCTAACCGCCGTCTTACTCATTATTAACTCATTGACTGGCAGCCATTTTCAGAACAGAGAGTCCCATACTGCCAGAGTTTTTTGAGCATTTTGACTGATTTTTCAAGAGCCACAGAATAGTTTGTGCTATGACTATGTAAACACCGAACACACCAATAGAAAGAGTAGACTCTCTTCTTTCATCAGGAAAAAAAAATTGTTTCTACCTTATTCCGTTCTTCCTGGACTTGCGTCTCACCGGCGACATGTTCTCTCATAGCGAACCGTTACCTTTTTCTTATTTGCCTACAGTCTATGCTCATCTCCCATCAAAAGTGGCACTGCCCCCTAGAGGCTCAATTTGTTAGTACATACTCTTTCTAGAAGCCTGATATTTACGGACAAGCTTTAGCAGATCGTCCCCCAAGTCAGTCTCGTTGAAAAACATAAAAGACGTCTATAGACGTCTTTGGCAGCCAATGAGTTAACGACACCAGGGCCTCTGTGCTCTTTTAAAGGGCTCTTATGAGGAGCTCTTCAGCCCTCTGGGTGTTTTTCCCAAGTAAATGTTTTTTATTGGCAGCTTTTCTGCTCATTTTTCAGTCCAGACGTTTTGTTTCAGTGACTTTGCTCTAAGCTTTTCATTATTCAAGCTTAAAACGGCCTCAGACTCAAGAAAGATTAAACTTTTAGTTGTGTCTTCATGCACTTTGATGCCGTCACAAAGACACAGCTTCTCTGTGAGGCAAGGCCAGGCACATTTATTTGTAAAGTACAGGACAAATCAAAGTTCTTCACAGAGAATTTAAAAGCAGAAAAACAAGAAAATAAAAATAAAAAATATAGATAGATGAGAAGTGAAGGGTGCAGTTAAAATACATCCAGTTTCCACATGCACAGTTTAACAGAACCGTTTTCAGCTAGCCTGGATTTAAACATTTAGAGTTGAAATCCTGTCTCACTGATCCAGATTTTAGGAGCATGGAGCAGAAATGATGCTTCACCTTGTTTAGTTCTGACTCTGGGCACCATCAGGAGACCAGAACCTGGTTCTCAGAGTCCGAGCTGGTTATGGCTCTAACATGTCAGAGACTGGAACACTAGCAGAGCTGTTTTAGAGTCTATTCTCTGAGAGACAGGAAGCCAGAGCAGGGACCTGAGAACTGGACTGATGTGGTCCTATTTCCTGGTTTCCCTATAGCAGACACATTAAAGCACAAACCTCAAACTTGGAGGAGGAAGTTTTTTGTAGAGGAACAGTTATGAGCTTCCTGCTTTTTTTGACTCGTGCTTGAAATAAATAGACTCATTTTCCGATGACTGTCACAGCGTCTGAAACATTTGTGTGTGTATGAGGCTGTTAGCCATAAGGAAACCGGCCCAAGGCTTAAACTAACCAACCGGCCCTTTAGGAGCCCAAAGAGCTCGTATCTCCATCACATTTATCAACTCGCCTTTTTGGCTGCTTATTAAGTAGGAGCTATAAAATTATCAGCATATGTTTTAGTTTTTCCTTTTTACTGAACCTGTTTCTAATACATTAACATATATTTTACACTTATTTTCTACTATATAGGATCATACAACTCATTTGCTGAAATTTTACATAGTTTTTTTTTGTTTGTTTTTTAATAGCTATACTTGGATGTTTGGAAAACCGCTGACTGGTTCATGTCAAAGTTTAGGCAGGATGCTGTTTTGAAACCATTTCTGTGTTTTTAATGGCACCAAACGCAGCTTTTGATGGAACCACCTGTGGTCTTTGTGGTCTTACAGTATCACAGCTGCTTGTGGAATAATGTCTAACCCTGTTTGGATATTTAGGTGTTTCCTGTTAGTGATATACGTCTGTTCATCAGGATGAGGAGTAAACGGGGATAAATCCTCCTGTTCTGTTCTGTGTTTGTGCATCCAGCTTCAGACCACCCTTATTACGCCCACTCGGGGCCCAGCAGCGGGCCCGACAGCTACATCTACTACATGAACGTGTGCGGAAAGATCCCCACCTCCGAATGTGGAGAAGACCCCTTCATCTCGTCCTGCCAGGTGAAGGAGTCCGGAGACCTGACCAAAGTGGCCGGAAGATATCAGAACCAGACTTTACGGTAATACCTCCGTGTCTAACAGTGTTGGGTTAAGAATCTATACAATCCCTGTTTGATATTTTAGTCCTTTTTTGTGTATTTTCATTCATCCATGCTTGGTCTTTTACCTTAAAGGCTTTGAGCTCTCTCATATAAGCTTTATTCATTTTGTTTCAGGGCTTAAAATTGTGATGGCATGCTGCGTTCTGTCGGTGCAACAACTCCATTTTTTTATTTGCCTTGTACAGTTTTAAGTTCTACTTTCATTCTGAAACGTTCTCCTGCTTTGTTTTGTTTCAATAAAGTTTCCTTTTGCTTTCTTTTGAAGGCTTTTCGCCCTTCTAAAACATCCTGTTTAGACTCATTTTAAAACATCCATCAGAAGGAAAAGATTGGGCCTTTTTGTGCTCAATTTAGCTCAGTGGAATCTTTTAAAAATGGCCTCATTTGATAATTGCACCATTTTTTTTTTCTTTAATATGAATATCGATCAAACACAATGGAATTTGGTTGATTTGGTCCAATGGAAAATAGTGGGTGGAAATGTTGTTTATATACTATGTGTCTGGAATTATTAAAGTATTTCTAATTCGGATTCTCATTACTTTAGCATACTACTATTAAAATATGTCCCGCCCCCATCTCAGGAACATGTGAAGAGTAACTCCCGTTTTCAGATTTGAGGGTTTAAGCCTTTTAACTTTCCTCTGCAGGTATTCGGATGGAGACCTGACTCTGATCTATCCAGATGGCAGCAGATGCTCCTCCGGCTTCCAGAGAATGAGCATCATCAACTTTCAGTGCAACAAAACTGCATGTGAGACACAATTCGAATAGACTCGCACAGTTACTTTGACTGTGCCGTTAGCCTGTTTAACCGAATACAAATGGAGTCTGATTTTTTGGTTATTTTGAAGAGCTTCTTTGTGTTTTTCCCCCTAAAATAAAGATCATAACTTCTGCTGTTTTCATATATATTCATCTAAAACGCTCGTCTTTTTCCGTTTTTTTCCGTCCGCCTGCTGGGGTCCTGGCAGCTAATGGAGGGCGAGGCAATCCGGTGTTTGCGGGGGAGACGGACTGCACTTATTACTTCAACTGGGAGACGGCCTTCGCCTGCATCAAAGAGAAGGAGGACCTTCTCTGTCGGGTCACAGACGGCAGGAAACGCTACGACCTCTCCCCCCTCACTCGATACCCCGGTTAGTGTCCTGTGTTCAAACCTTTTGCTCCTCATTAAATCACATCTTCCAGTAATATGAAAACAAACTGAGGAGCTAATAAAAACGTCGATCTCGGCGTATTTGTTTAAATAAAACTCACATGTGAGTCAAATGTTAGTTTATGAGCTTTAGAGTTATTTAATCCTCTTTCTAATTCACAGTTTTTGAAAGAATTGTGCCTCTAAAACTCGTCTTTTAAGCTTTCTGTAGTTTGTGTTTAAAAAATCCCCTCCTGCTGCCTCAGGGTCAGACGTAAGCGAGAACTGGGAGGCGGTCGATGCTAAATCTGCAAAGTCGGACTCGCGTTACTACCTGAACGTCTGCCACAAAGTCATGCAGACCGGAGGAGCTGCTGGATGCCCGGAGGAGGCCTCCATCTGTGCTGTGGGTGAGTTTGTACGCAAGAAATGGGTTTTTTTCTGATTATTCAGGAGGTTTGACCTCTTACTTTCTGTCACCCCACTGTTTAAAAACATGTCATATAGCAGTGTTTTTCAACCTTTTTTGAGCCAAGGTACATTTTTTCATAGAAGAAATCACGAGGCACACCACCAACCAAAAATGTTAAACAAATCTGTAGCCGCTTATAGTAACACTATAGTTATTCTTATTTTATTCTTATCTTATCTTAAGTGTCTTGAATAGGAATCAAATAAACACAAAAATGTATTTTTATCATATTTTATATTTCTTCTTTCAAATTGCATGTCTACTTCAATATGCAAAATTATATACAAAGTTATATACAAAATCTAGTCATAAGGAATTATTACATGATTACGTCACTAGTACAGCACAGACACTCAAAAATGGAACATTATTTGCAGATAATTAATTCCTTATCAAAAAATCTTTTCAGACCTATTAGGTGAAATAGGATGATTTTCTACGGCACACCTGACCATCACTCACGGCACACTAGTGTACCGAGGCACAGTGGTTGAAAAACACTGTCATATAGAACTCCCTGACCACAGTTTTCAATTGATTGTGTCTCTGATCCAGATAAGGCTGGACGTAACGTCAGTCTGGGAAGCTTCCTCTCATCTCCACAGAAGACTAAAATGGGAGATGACATCCGGCTGGTGTACACCGATGGAGATCTTTGTCTCAACAAGAAGACGAGAATTCAAACTATCCTGACCCTCAAATGCAAACCAGGTGGGCTGAACGGGGAACAGAGGAGATGATCATCAGATCCGGCTCTCTTTAGTCCTGGGGATCTGACTTCTCCTCCATGTGTTGTTTCTTCGTTTTTTTTTTCTTCTTCTTTCCTTTTTATATATTTTTTTATTATTATTTTATTTGTTTTTTTTGTTATGTCTATGTATTTATTTAATATATTTATTTACATTTTCTTTTATTTATTTATTTATTTTATTTTATTTATTTACGTTTTATTTTATATATTTTGTTTTTTATTATTATTTTATTTATTTTCTTTGTTATTTCTATTTATTTATTTTATTTATATATTTATGTTTTCTTTTATTTCTTTTATTTATTTATTTACGTTTTCTTTTATTTATTTATTTACGTTTTCTTTTATTTATTAATTTTTTACATTTGTTTATTTATTTTCATTTCAACATTATTATTATTATTACTATTTATTTGACTTTCTTGGTATTTATTTATATATTTTCTCGCAGGAGATCTTCAGAGTGCCCCCGTGCTGCGCAGCGTTTCCTCAGACCAGTGCGTCTATGAATTTGAGTGGCACTCCGCCGCCGCCTGCGTGCTTTCCAAAACGCAAGGAGACGACTGCAAGGTGGAGGACCAGCAGGCCGGTACGGCAAAAACTCATTTTGAGTTACAACCACAGAACAGAACCAAAAGCTGCACCGAGCGGGCGTTTTCTGCTGAATAGACATTATTTTTAAGGTGGCTCTAAAGTGGGAGTTAAAGTTCTTTTAAAGGGAAATGTGAGCAGATTTATTGTCGATTGTTCTGCCGTTTAAACCCTTTTTTGGTGGACTTTCAAAGGTTATTTCTGTATTTGCTTTAATCAAACAAACAGAAAGAATACTAAACCTCAGACCTCAGATATAATCTCTCCTCTCAGTTGATCTGATTTAAAACTGATGGCATGAACTTTGGCATGAGCTGTCCTCCGTCTTTGGCTTTAAAAACATTCCCAACTCTCAGACTATTAATGACTGTCACTCCTCCTCATCGCTGCCACCTGCTGGAAAACCTGAGTTATGGAAGAGGTCTCTGATGTGAAATATTGAAGTTTTATTTGTTATAAAAGCAGACCTGATAATTTTTATTCTACCCACTAATTTGAGCTAAAGGCCATAACTTAAGAAAGCCAACTTACAGTATAGAAAACATGTCAAATGTTGACAATTAGAGTTTTTTTCCTGGATTAAGAATATTATCCTTTTACACAGAAACGTGATATCTCTTTTTCTGGGTTTGCGGTCGGTTAATCCTCCTCTCTGGCTCGATTCTGCAGGGTTTTCCTTCGACCTGTCGCCCCTCACCAAGCCTGACGGGGGTTTCTACAACCTGACCAGCGGCGACTACAACTACTTCATCAACGTGTGCGGCCCCGTCAAAATCGGGTCGTGTCCCGAGAGGGCCGGCGCCTGCCAAGAGGAGAAGAGGTGAGACGATACCGATACTCAGGAAAATACTCGACACTCGATACCATTTTCGATACCACAAGGATAAAAACAAAGACCCCAAAATTGTGTCTTTCATTTTAAACTGACCTGTTACTGATGTTATCGTGGCTGGTGGCCCACATTAATGACCCTAATCCTAACCCTCCACCCTTCATAATTGTGAGAAATAAATATTTTTTGGTTAAACTTGTTTGGACTTATTGTTAAAACCGATTTAATATACACTATTTTAACATAATATGTATAGAGTTTAATTAAGTGTTTGAAAGATTCATTTAACTATTTTTAAATGAATGTCTATATTGTCATGAAGTAATTAGGATTTTCTTGCCTGGGATCTTCCTATTGGTGACCTTATCAAAATGGCCGACTTGGATGTGGGCGGAGTTGGATATGTACTTGATTGGTAGCATGTTATTATTAGCCGTTAATGATCATAAACAACAAATAAATACATAAATAAATCAGAGAGAAGGGGGGTGGGGTATCGATACTTTTGAAAACGAGTATCGTATCCAAATACAACATTTTAGTATCTATACTTTTTCGAGTATCGATACTTTTGACAACCCTAATTGACCGTTTGAATGCCGTTGTTAGCTCGTGGAGCCTGGGGGAGGCGAGCTCCCGCCTGTCCTACTACGACGGCCTGATCCAGCTCGTTTACAGCAACGGCTCCAAGTACAACAACAAGCTGCACACTCTCCGGTCCACCCTCATCTCCTTCCTGTGCGACCCCCAAGCCGGAGCAGGAAAACCTGAATTCCAGGTAAAACTTTAACTCTAAACCAGGGGTAGATAGGTACAGTGGGGGAAATAAGTATTTGACCCC